ATGCAGGGGTTTTAAGTCCAGTTGGCACAGATACATAAAATCAAGCAGCTAGCCATGCAGCGTGATCAAGTGTAAGTGGTATTATTGCAAACTGGAAATGTTTAGGAAGTATAGCAACTCAGCCATGAAGTGCCAGACCATGTAAAGTTGCAGAGTGAGTGTAGAAAAGTCCATGTTAGCGTGAACTACATTACCCAGCAGCTTTGCAGTCATGGGATTCATGGGACTCCTGAGCTAGATAGCCTGACTTAGTTCATGGGCTGATGAGAGACGAGGGGAGAGCTGCTGGGAAGAAAAGCAAATAGCCCCCCTGTGTTTGTTGTAAATGGTGTGTGTCACATAAACGTGAGTTTACATTTCATTTTTAAGATGCTTTACCCTGTGTGTATTTATTCTAGCTACCTTTGGCATATGTGCTAGTTATAGATAACTATGGTGGCCCAGCTATTGGATAGTTTCTGGCCTTGTTCCAGCTTTATTTGTTCCCTTTACCAATTAATGTGACATTGTACGCTGTAACATGGGTGTATTACGTAGTGGTAGAGGGCTGGCTACTGAACAACTGCCTCAATATAAATATTTCATCTCTTGTGTTGGAGTGCCATCTTGTGGCCCATTTTGGGTAGTGTTTTAATAAATGTGATTGCTCTTAAGAAGCAGTATCAGGTTGATGCACTGCCTTAGCAGATTTGTTGTGGAGGAATTTGTGGCCAGCTTTATTACCGTTTAATCTTAATTCATGTTCTAAAGTATTTCCTGTTCTTGATCGCAGAAACCACACCATATCACCCCTCCACATCCTCCTACACCATGTCATATCTCCTTGTACCTTCAATCCGAGTATAAATAAACTCCACCTCTTACAATCTACTCCCTGGATGTCAGCCTCTCCTTCTGACCAAGGATAACTATTGTAGCAAAAACCAACATTAAACTGATGTGCACCATTCTGTACAGTGAGGTTGCAGAGTGCATAAAAATCTCCAACGCTCTGCTGACTCAGTAACTGCAGAGCTCTAAACCTCCTCTGGCATCAACATCAGCACAAAAACTGTGTGCCTGGAGCTTCATGGCTCATGGATTCCCATGGCTGAGCAGTTCCAGTGAGTGTAATGTGTAGGCAGCGGTGTACTTTCTGCCCATATAATGTATATGATAATAACCTGGTGCCAACATTTAAATACTTCAATTTGGAAGAATGAAGAACTGACAAAGCAATTAAGCCACACGTTTAAGAGATTTATACTAGTTTATAGAAAAGATACTGTATGTGACAATACAATCAAATAATACCAGTGTGCCCTTGTAGAATAATAAATTAATAAGTAATAAGTCAATATAGGTCCTTTATTGAATCGTAAAGAAAAGTCATTTATGTATGTAAAGACAAACAACGTCGGTTAAGAGTTTGTGTTTACCATGTAGCATGAAATGTTTCCAAAAGCATTATTAAGTGAAGACATTTAATGTTTACTCTTTGATAATAACAACAGAGTAAAATCACT